TGACAGACTAATTAATTCGCATAAACTAAATAAGCTAATAATATAAATCTATTACCAAAAACGCTTGGTGCGATACTTTTGATTAGGTTATCGAAAATTCTTTCATCTCCGCTCATTTCATCCAAAAGTTCTTTCTCCATCCCTTTCATAGACTTAACAAATGCTTCATAATCATTTTCGATTTCGTCCACTTCCGTTAGTCTATTATAAGCATCACGCTATTTTTTTCAATATAACGAATGTTAAAAAAAAAAAACTTAAATCAGAATAAAAATGATTAAAGAAATGATCTGTACCTTTGCGTCAACAGTATGAACTGTACATGCCAAAAATGATATTTTATATGATAAATCTCTAGCACCAAGAGATTTTAGACCCGTGACTCCAGCATTAGCTAATCCATCAGCCCCCTTGAAACGACTATTACGAATATCACGTTGAACTTCGGCTCCGACGCCTGAAAATAAATATTAAGCAAAAAATTTCTTCACGGAACATCTGATGAGATTATGTGATTATAGCATACCCGGAACTCCCAATTGATGGATATCTGGAATAACAAGGGGTGTACCCGTAAAAATGCACTTGTTTCCGGGTTTTGCGCCTTCCACCATTTCATGACGAAGAATAACTTCAAGACTATTATATCATTTAATGATAAGAGGTAAAGTTGCAATAAATACAAATTTAAATGATTTAAATGACAAATTCGGTTCAAATGATCACTCACGTTCTAGGCATGCTTCCTGTAGGTATTTCATTTGGATTTTCCTGAATTCGAACTCTTTGCCAATCTGTAAACTTGGATTCTTCGATTTTAAGTACCCATGAATCTCGGTTAGAACATGTTGGTGTTTGACACATGGCCGGCTTTATAAAGAAATATTCATGAGTGCAAAGAACCTATTTAAAAAAAATCTTGTAACAACAAAAAAGTAAATCTTATACATACCTCCGTATAACTAAATTGTTGTTCAACATTCTCAACTTCGACCTTACATTCTTGACAAACAAATTTTCCAAAAAGTAACTCAGGTCGAACCTCACTTGTTCTTGTTACTGTACCACATATACTCATTAAGGTCCCTATCTTGTCAGTTTTTAAGTCTCGGATGCGATTTTGAGAAGGAAGATTAAAAAAGGCCACAGAATAATCTAAGGAGTATGATTTCTCCAGTGTCACAAACTCCTGATCTTGCGCATTTTCATCTTGCGCATAACCATTCTGATCAAAGAATCCAATACCCGATTTTTTACTTTGATCAGGGAAATATATCTCCATGAGACGTTCAACCGCCCTTCGGAGATATGGCTCAAGCCTTTATAAATATTATTACCTAAATGAGCATCAAGTGTGACGCGACTTTCACGTGCCAAAAAAAAATTATTACTCCATGCATACCTGTAATATTGTTGAGAAATGGCTTTTGATAGAGAATCCGATTGCTTATAATGCATTATATGTTTAAAATCTACGTATAATATACGTTTTCCTGTCCTTGATAAATATCGTAATTGTTCTAAATATGGTCGAATTTCATCATTATCTCCTTCGTAAAATCTGATATATATATTGAAAAAAAAAAATTTAAATAAGGTTAAAACACGTCTAAATTTCTATTAAACTATAAGTGACAGTATAAAAATTCCATAATAATATAATTTAATTATTATTTTACGTACTCTTCGCAAAAATCCATAAAAATGCATCCATATTCTGACGCAAATTCATCTTGCGCTTTTTGTATGCTACCTAAAAACTTTTTTTTTTTATGTGGACCCTTTTTTGTTCCTACTTCCTCGGCCTCACTATGTCTGTCGTAACTATCTAAATTCATAGTTTCGTTTTTAAGAATGTACTTAGTCAGACGCGTTTTTTTTTTTTTTGTTGAAATTAAGTTTATATATATTAAAAGACGCACGTTATATTAGGAAATAAAAAACGTGTATCGAATATTATTAGATTTTTAGGGGTTATCTCTTCACTAGGCAATGTGTAACATTGTGTGTCCGGAGCGTAAAAGATCAATCAGATGATCGTGATTTGCAGCCAATCAGAAGCCCGGAAACGAACAGACAGAATTCACGTGACCTTGTGTATCAAATACAGACGTAAAAACAACAGGGGAGACCGTTCCAAATAAGGAAATGATGATCCCGATCATGCATATTGATTTAGCCAATCAAATTAGCGATT